GCCGAGAAAAGAAATTATTCTACGAAGACAAAATTGACAAATCCAAAGGAGATAGCAAAAAGATGTGGCAAACAATAAAACAGTTATTTGGACAGAAGAAAGAAGATCTGCCAATAGATAAAATCAATTTTGAAGGCTATTCCGGACCACCTGAAGAAAACTTTAATAAATATTACAGTGATAGCATTCGTGATCTAGCTGAGAGTATAGAAGATAAAGGCTTACTGCAATTTGGAAATGACCTTGAAGTACAGAAAGAACAATTAGCAAAATTTCAAGAAATTACTTTCAGCCAGTTACAAAAAATAGTGAGCAGCCTAAAGAATAAAAGTTCGAGTGACGGTTTTTTAAGTCCAAAACTTCTTAAAGACCTATTTTGTGTAGTTGGATATCCCTTGCTAAATATTGTAAATACAGTGATAACTAGTGGACGAATCCCTTCGGATCTCAAAATTAGTGTAATTGTGCCAATAGCTAAAGTTCCGTCGCCAACCCTGCCAGAACAATTTAGGCCAATTAATTTACTACCAACTATAGATAAAATTATTGAAATTGTGTTAAGAGATCAATTGAAGCTATTCTTTGAAAGAAACAATATTTTGTACTCAGGGCAGTCTGGTTTTCGTGATGGTCATTCATGTGAAACGGCATTGCAATTTGCATGTTTTAACTGGAGGGAGGAAATTAATAAAGGAAAAGTAGTTTTGAGTGTATTTGTGGATTTAAAGCGTGCTTTTGAAACGATTGATCGGAAACTGCTACTCTACAAACTACAGAAATATGGTATAAAATCAGATGCCATAAAATTAATCCACAACTACCTTCAAGGCCGATACCACCAAACTAGAGTAGGCAACAGTGTGTCCAATGGAACGGAATGTAATTTCGGTGTACCACAAGGCAGTGTCCTGGGCCCTTTATTGTTCATTATATATATAAACGACATAAAGGACGCGTTACAACAATCTTTTGTAAGTTTATTTGCGGATGACACACTCATATCTGTCGCGGCTACTAATTTTGAAGAAGCTGTTCGCACCTTAAACAGTGAGCTAAGTATTCTGTATGACTGGTTGTGTATCAACAAATTAAAAATAAATGCAAATAAAACCAAGTTTATGGCAATGGGATCTAAATCGACCTGTAACAATTTTGCGGAGCGAAATTTTATCATCTGTATAAACAATATTGCCATTGAACAAGTATATACGATACCTAGGAGTTATTTTAGATCCTCAATTGACTTTCAACAGTCATGCAGACTACTTATGTAGGAAATTAGGGAAGAAAATAGGGTTCTTTAGAAGAATAGCTTCAAATTTGTCTCAATGGAGTAGAAATCTTGTTTATAACACAATTGTATATCCACACTTTAACTTTTGTATGTCACTTTTACTTTCATGTAATAAAGAACAAGTAAGCAGACTTCAGGTACTCCAAAACAAATGTATGAGAGTTGTTCTAAAATGTAATATTTACACTCCAATCAAAAATATGCTACAAACCCTAAATTGGCTTTCTATTGAACAGAATATTAAAAAGGCAACCCTCGTTGTAATCTATAAAATGATGCATCAATTAACACCGAAATATCTAAGTGAGTTACTAGTTACGCGGCAACACTTACATTCTCGACATTTAAGATCCGATGAAAATTTAAACATAAATTTTTCAAATAAAACTTTCTTAATGGGATCGTTGCTAATTAATGGAATACATCTTTTTAATAATCTGCCAAAAGAAATAAAAGACTCTAGCAATTTGAATTTGTTTAACAAAAAATTATGTAAATATCTTAGAGAATCAAATTAAACAATTGTGTATATTATGTAAGATAACAAAAAAAATATGTAAATAAAAAAAAAATAATTGTATATAATAGCAATGGCTAAATAAACGGATTCATTCATTCATTCAAAACCCGCTTCATCGGTAAAGAGAACCTTCTTGACAAAGTTTGGATCTCTTTCTCTTTGCATACAAAAACCCAAACGAATTTGAGGATCATGGACTAATAATGCTTGTACTGGCTTCTTATGGTATGGATATAGCAATTGTTCTCTAAGCACTTTATGAACGACATCTTTACTTACTCCTAGTTCCCTTCCAATTCGTCTGGTGCTTAATTCTGGATCTTCTTCAACACGTTCTAAAATGTTTTCTTCAACTTCAGGAATCCTTACAAAACGTTCTCTTCCATTATCAACAGTGTTGGGAGCAAAGGAACCGGTCTCCCGAAGACGTCTCTCAACAGCAGCACAAGTTGGGTGGCTAGGTACACGAGGATTTGGAAACCTTTTAGAGTACACCCTGACACTCTCTCGAGCATTTCCTTCACAAAATCCTAATGTCAGTAACATATCAGTATATTCTGCATTGGTATATTGTACAGCCATATTAATAAACCACGCATTTGTTTTTTTTAATTATTGAGTCAGATAGAACACTTTCAATCGTTAACAAGAGATAAGGTGTTAAAACTTGACAATATTTTTATTTAGATGAAACTATGGAAACTAACAATAAATGTTTTTGTATACGTATTGCAGGCAAATAATTAATATTCCTCAAAAAATCGTACATGGCAAGAATCGAGTATTTTTGGTAAAAGTCCCGATTAGAGGTGTTGAAGAAGATATGAAAAAAGTACATTTTTATGTTTTTCATCGTATAAAATTTTGTCCGATAATAATACATAGGCGTAAAACTTGATTTTTTAAATAATTGCCCGTTTAAAAATTCTACGCCAATGGCAGAAAAGGGTGAGTATGAAATTTGGATTGGGTACTCATTTACTACAAAAAAGTACCCTCGATAACACTCGATTTACTATCATGGTTTTGACAAAGTTTGTATTTTAATAATTATTGTTTATGTTCTAAAATTACTAAAATGCAAATTTCGTCAAAACCATGAGAGTAATCGAGTCTTATCAAGAGTACCTTTTTTAAAGTAAATGAGTTGCGCAATCTAAATTTCATACTCAAACTCCTTTTCTTCCATTGGTGTAGAATTTTTAAAGGTGCAATTATTTAAAAAATCAAGTTCTACGCCTATGTATTATTATCGGACAAAATTTTAATACATTTTTTGCCACATAAAACTCTACCAATATACCAAATTTCAGCAAAATCGCATATGTCGTTTTAAATTTATATGGGAAAAACGATTTAAAAAGTGTAACTTCAAGGCCCTCTAGACCCCAAAGGAAGCAACTTTGTACAAAGGCAATTTTACTTAAATCGACTTATTTTGGTCTAAGGAATATGTGGTATGTTTTTGTAAAGACCTTCTACAGGAACCCTGTATATTTTTGTTATACAAACAGAAACGTCGTCAAATATCTAAATTTGTTATATGTTACAGGTAGTACTCCATGTTCTGATTAAGTCTTCATGGGCTTAAACACATTTTATTTTGATATACAGAGCGTCGAAGTAAAAAATCCCGAAATATGTTTAATTGTAAAATTATTTTAACAATATTAAAAAGTTTTAAGATAACTATTGATTGGTACATTTCTGAGATATTACCGAGGTATAGTCTGATGCACTTTATAGTAGAAAATCGTCTCAATTTAAAGCTGAAGGAAGGTCTGTATTAGCTGACCATTTATCAACATTATTTTAAAATATCTTAGTACTCCATTGGTCAACTAATAGAAGTCATTTAGGAACACATTATTTTTGTTATTTACACTCTAACACAATATATGTATATCTTCAAAATCGAATACTTATACTAATTAATTCAAACTACCTCCTTTCTTACCTCTCTCAGTCACAAATTATAAAAGAAAAAGAAAAAAATACGAAGATTAAAAAATATCTTGTAAAATCTTTATTTTTGTATGGTACTCCAATGGTACGTTTGTGCTTGATGGAATATCTGAAATTAAGAATCCGAATTTTTTTAATTCATCCAAGCATTTAATTGCTTATCCCATCCAATTTATTTTCTTAATCCTATTAATATCGGTGTCCTATTTTTTGTTATTTGGAAAACAATATTAGGCAAAGCGCCGGGATTTGAGACTGCCACAACAAAGATTTTTTTTGCACTTTTCTATTAAATTTTACAACGCAAATCACACAGAACATTCGGCAATATAGATGAGATACCCCAAGCGCTACTTTACAGAAAAAAATCACGTAGAATCCGCCAAAATTTAGTGGCGCCATCTACAATTGGTCTCCAAAGTTCAAAACATGAAAATCAATGTATTCCCAACTCCCTCAAGCGGAAATTCAGTGAGAAACTAACATTTCTATTCAGTGCAAAAATTTGGGCTTTTTCGAAGGCCGTTATTGCAAAAAATATTCGTCTTACGAAAAAAATGGTAGGGACCATTTTTGTAGATAATGATCCGATCTTCATTTTTTATCTAAACAAAAATTGTCTAATTTGTATATTTTGGCAGATATTAGCGTGAAACCATTTTTTCGGACTTTAAGGGCCATTTTGAGCCCTTTCCGACCCAGCAGTGTTGGTAAAAGTTTTCGCCTTTGAAAGCAACCGTCAAGACCTAAGAATTGATCCACAAAGGAAATCTGGACCGACTTAATGACAGCTTTGCATATTTTCAGGAATTCAGTTACTAGTAAGAAGCTTCAAGAATCTTAAACGCTTCGAACGGGGCCTAAGACGGCAACAAGCCTAAATCCGTCACTGCTTACTCGTATTAAAGTTTTATGTAGAAATCACCCAATTAAAATGTATTTCATTCTACACAAAATGTAAGGCCAACTGAAATATTGTTATTTTGTTGTTCGTGTATCAATCGTCCGCCATTTTAACTATTAAAACATCGCGTTGATTGGAATGTTTATTTCAAGAGTCTTTTGACAAAAAATTTGTTATATGCAATGTAAAAATTATTATAGATTGCAAAAAATATATATAAAAATATTTTTTTTAATAGGATTGTTTTCTATAAATATCGGAGGAACTGTAAGGAAATCAATCAATTTAAATTTAAATAATATATAAAAATTACTCACTATTGATGGATCGACGATGCACTCTCTGAAATATTTTCAACATCCTGGTTGAAGTGATGGAGCGAAGGAAGAGATTGTGTTGGCGAACTTATTGGTAAACCTAAAATAGAAAAATTTTAATAATATTTTTATTTTTAAACATTTTATCGTTGTACCAGAATAATATTCGCATTTTCACCAATAAAAATAAATAATTTAGGTACGACACTGTTTGCCAAACGCTGACATCAACAAACATTACTTTTCAAGATATAAAATATGTTTGCTAACGTTCCCATGCAAAGTAAACATATATCATTGCTAAAAAAAAATAGAATATTCGATAGCGGGATACATCCAAGCTACTTGAAATATGTCTCTTTTTTCCATAAAACACTTAAAATATCGCAAAGAAAAATTACTGTTAGATTCTGGTATTTTTATACATATTTCCCATTATTAACATTTGCTGGACGCTCCTGATAATATTCTTGGGTGTGGTCACGGTGAACTATAAGGTGCATCAACTCCTATTTAAAAACAAATGAAAACGGCGATAAAACCGATCGTACTTCCTAGCCAAAATCCGCTAGGTTCGCTAGTATCTGTCCGGCGAGAAAGTAAATAAAAGATAAAAGTAGGAGCTGCAATTTAAAAAGTGTTGACCGATAAATATTTTTTTAAAATCTTAAAATATATAAATCATGGTGGATCGTTGTGCTGTTTTTAATTGTGATTATGGGAGAGAGTCTTCAAAATATTAATAGCAGTTTTATAATGCCAAAAAACAGTTATACAGAATATGGTGCAAATTAGTGGTGGTATGAAAATAAACATTAAACCCAAAAGTTCCATTTGTGAAAAACATTTTAGTGCAAATTATGTTATCCGTGAAAAAGTGCTAAGAAATCTACTAGGAAACGTTATTTTTCAAGTAAATATGTTTAATGTCTACGTTTTAAATGATTGTAGGTTATGTAAATAGGTTATTCAACTTTGTCTTTTCTGTAATAAAAATAATTATTAGTATAAAGTTTTACTATATAAATATTTCGTATTATTTATCCTGTCTCCTTGGTACTAATAATGTTATGACTTGGACCCTATTATAATGTGTTCATGATATAAATTTCATATACACAAGGTACCTATTTCTTTTGATATTTTTCTGACCCTGCGAATAAATAAAATCTTTGACTTATTCCTTTTAGCCTAATTATAATGCTAGAAAGTTGTATCTGGTTATAAGAATCAAATAGATACTATGATAAATTTATTTTACTTGTAGCCTTTTTATTTTTAAGTGTTCAAATATACATTTGTTTAATAATAATCATCTCCAAATGTGTTTTGTTCCAGTTCTTTAAATGTATTTACTAGGTTTTTATAGAAGTACTGATTTTAAATTAATAAAAATTTGAGCTGTAAGAAATATTTAAGATTTTTCAATTCTGTATTTTTCGTATTTTTATAGGAGTTAATAATCCCTTTAAGTAAATAAATGTAGTTCGGGGTCGTAGATGTTGGTAATTTGTGTATTGAATAATTTTTACATACACTAGTTAATAATTTAAACAATGTTTTTTCTGATGTACCTAATAATTATTTAAGGTTATCTTGTAGTTGAGGAGTCTAGAAATCCGTATATTCACACCACTCTGAAGTCTAGAATTTGACACAAATTTGAAGTTAAAAATAACGATCGTATTACTTGAAAATCTACAGATTTTTTTTCATTTTTAATCGATGTAAAAATTGGTAAATACATGATAAAAAGTAAAAGTTATTTCAAATAATTAAATATAACTTTGCAACTATATGTTACGATTCCAACTATCAGAACTAGCCAGAACAAGAATGGTGCATTTCCAGACCCTTTAATTATAAGATTACCATTATTTAATGTGCAGCGCAAATATAAAAAAAAACTACCTAAAAAATGCTGTTCCTGCTTTTATTACTTATGATGGGACTACTTCTCAAAGGAGACAAGAATGTGGAAAGTATTGCTGATACAGTTACCGAAGTTATCCACTGGGGGTGAAGTGTTAATCTTTTAGGAATATAGGAAATATTTTTTTATACCTAACAACTTAATATTTATTTATTGATAAGTTATAGATACTATGTATTTGTAATTCGAAGTAATCATTATGACAGCAGTGTTCTTCTTATTGTATTCGAATTCTAACACAAATAAAACATCTCATTAAATTTTTGTTAAAATTATTAATTTATTAATTTTACATTAGAAAGAAAATTAACAATACACACAAAATTATTTAAAATTAGAAATAAATACAATTTACACATTTCCCATTATTACACTTTTACTTACTTAATTTATTCATTTCTTATATTAACAATTTAAATTAATAATATAGTTCATTATTTAATTGTAACTCATTTTATAATTTTACTAATTTTTTTATATTTATTTGTGGAAAATTAAATATTAAATAAAAGCATAGGAATTGTTCTATTAGATAATAGCAGTAATAAAAAAATAAGTAGGAAAATTTCAAATGTATAGTTTCCAGATTTATTATGAGTTTTTCATATTAATGTACTCAATAAGTAGGTTTATTATGTTCGCTTGTACACATCACAGTTAGCAGCAGACAGTAACAAACCTGACAACACTTCCGATTTCAGAAAAACATTACAACAATTTGTTTTACATTATATATTTCAATAATGTAATATAATAATCATTTATATTTAATTAATGACAAGGTTTACTTTTTAAATAAAACTATATGAGCCCTGTCCCGTTTCAATTAGCACACTTCTCAAATTTATAGTGACTGTCACTACAAGAACAAATCATACATAAATCTGATAAATTACTTTTATTTTTTTAACCCTTTCACTTCCACTTTCATTAAAAAAATACCACTGTAGTAGATTGTATGTTTTCTTTGTTTATTTTAAGTAAATTAAAATTTTTTCATAGTATTTTTTATTACTCCAAGACATAACGTCCCTGTTCAGGGACATTACAAAAACAAAAATTTACTATGAAAATAATTTTTTTATAATATTAATCCTTAAAAGTAATGCAAATAAAGTAAATAAACAAAAAAAAAATTTCTACCAAAATTAACAGATGTATACTTCAGGGTTAATTAAGACAGTGTCCCTCTGTAGGGACAAATACACTGAAAGGGTTAAATATTTACAAATTTTCATGAGTGTTTCATCACCTTTAACTTTGATAACGGCAATAATTCATTAAAACATTGTATTTACAAGTTCTTGAAAATCTTGTGCAGGGAACCTACTCCATATTTCTAGATTACCCATTTGCTTTAATTCTGGCAGTGATCTTGTGGGTGCTGCACGCCTCTGCTTAAAAATTATCACCCCATATACAAAAAAGCATCTTTATTAAATGAACAAGAAACTAAAAAAAAAAAAAATAAGCATTATTAAAAACTACAAAAAGTGCATAATTTGAAAATCCATATTCAAGCTTCAGATTTGTAAAATTAAAAAAATTCCAAATACAATTTAACTTGTTCAATTATGTATTGAATAAAAGGTCTGTTTCAGCAATGATCAGAAACAAACCACTGGGTAGTACACAAGTTTGCAGTATCAATAAACTACTGTGCAGAATCCTGATGTCAGTAACTCATTTCTGAGCATTGTTGGAACAAACCTAAAGTAAATCGAAACCACTTAAAAACAAGCACAACATTTATACTCGAGCATAATTTTTAATTCCTATCAAAATTTTTAATTACTGAATATTTTGTTCTAGTTATATTAAAATTTAAAAGTTCTTACTCTTCATTATAATTATATTTTTTAGTTTCCCTATATACATACATACTATCTCTACCATTTTACAAATTTTATGCCTAATTAAAGATTTCATCTAGCATTGCAGCATTTTTTAGAATATTTGAGAGAGCATAGTAGTAACTGCCAGTTAAAACTTTATTTCTAGTATTTAGTTTAGGTAACAGAGACAACGCTTGGAACAGAAAATACATACTTTTGTTAATTCAGAATTTTTAAATGTTGTTTTATATTATAAATCTTTCCAGGTATCCTATATCATTTTTTTTATAATTTTCAACCAAAACTGTTTAAAAACAAAAAGTTTAATAAAAAAACACCCATTATATTTAATAAGATTTATGCTCTAAAACTCACTGTTCTTTTAATGGCAGATTTTTTAACCTCTGAGTAAAGTTAGGTGTAAGTATAATCTATAGCCTAATCAGCAAGTAGTTACTTTCAACTTTATTCAGAGGTAAAAACCTGGCCTTTAATCTTAATATAATTGTGGAGGATGGAGACTACATTTGCTAGGGATTAGGGAATAACGAAGATCTGACTACTATAATGACACTTGCTAAAAACTGTATAAGTTCTATGTACATGCAGATAGAACCATGTGAATAACTTTAGTGCTTCGATAACACAACATTGATAATTAACAGATGAACATATTGGTTACAAAAACAAATTAAATAATATATTCTACCAATCTCATTTTTTCCAAAAAGTACAGTTACAACCTTGTTATTCTTTGAGATGTATTTACTACTGATACTTATTAATAAAAATAATAATAATTGATATAGGTACTTACTGATCTTTGGAAACATATATACTCCAGTCCAGTGAGACTTCATTATTCTGGTATAATGCTATTTCACAGAAATGTTTGTAATTCCAATCACTATGTATGGATTTGATTATAGTAGGTATAAAACTAAATGTTTATTGAATATCTTTAATCTGGGCAATGAAAATCACAAAATTCACTTTAAAAATAATAAGCTTCAATCTGAGTACCATAGTTAAGGTCCACTTCTTCATTTTATAATCAGTAACCCACTGTATTGCTGTTTTTGCCAAAGCCAAAGGTAATATTTGAACACAAAACAAAATCAGCTATTTTTTTATAAACACCCCCATTTCACTTATTTAGTACCAAGTCTCTGGCAGCAACTTGTAACTTAATTGGAGCATATTTATTAAATCTTGAACACTTTTTTTGATCGTATAAACTCACACATCAGTGCAGCTTGTTTAAAAAAAAAACACTTATAAGCAACCATCAATAACAATAAACTTATTTGTTGACCATTAATTTTTTCATCTGTACTCCTTCTGATAGTTTTGTCATTTTTCATTTCATATAAACTGGAATTTTCACCATAGAAGAACTATTTTTATGATTGCACTTTTTTGACAGATAAAAAGATTGCCGCAATTTTCCGCCGTAACGACACTAGCGAACCTAGCGGATTTTGGCTAGGAAGTACGATCGGTTTTGGTATGTTTTTTTCAGGGAGTTGAAACACCTTTATAGTACGCCGTGGGTGTGGTGGGTTTTTCGTTGACACAAGATGCTGAGATATTTCGAAGACGCGGTTTTGGGAAGAAAAGAAAGGGAAATATGGACCGACATTATTATTATCATTAATTGATTATCGTTTGTGGAATTTGCATGATAAAGTTTATTTTTGAAAAGTGAATTTCTTTTACCAGTTTGCTAATATCACCGTATAAGTTTCTCTCACTCGAACATTGAAATTCAATTCAGTCGCGAGGGTGTGTCTAAATTTTAAACAAACTTTGGCTTTCATTCCTTAATTAAATTTTCGCAAGATTGCACCTCGAATCTTGTCTCCAAAGAGTGAGAAGAGATCTCTTTGAGTGGTTAAACACAATATTTTCTGAGATTAACTAACAGATTTGTGCAGATAACCTTTGTTTTGTAAAATAATAAAGTGTTATTTGAAGCAAAGATAATGGGTCATGTTCACATGTGAGATATGCTGTTTTATAAATTATGTTGCTATAAAAGTTATTCTACATAATCAGTTTGTTAAAAAAATAATTATTCACATATATTTAAAAAGCTAAAATAATTCAACCTATTTTATTACAACTGAACCCAAAAAATTTTGAATATTAGTTATATTAAATTTAACTAAATTAGATAGATGTAATTTCACTAAATTATAATCTATTTTTATGTATAAGAGAGTATTAAAATAATAAAGCGTTCGTAATCCATAGGCGTATCACTTCTTTTAGTAGACAGTTAAAATATTTTTTGAAGTTATTCCTCGAGTATACACTTATATTTTCAACTAATTAACCTACTTATAACTTCTAAACAGCTGAAAGTAAAAAAGTGCAATTTTTTCTAAAATGTTTTAATTTTTCCACAAGGTATGTTAAGAACATTGTGTCAAACGGGTTATGTAGGTATAAGGGTTTACACTTTGATTTTTAAACAACGTTACGTTCATAAATAATAATTTTAATATAAAAACTACTTCTTACCTACAAATCCAAATCAGAATCGAAATCAGAAGATGAACTGTAGCAACCAATATTTACTATGAGTGGCTCGATCATTTCATCAGTAATATTATCCAACTTCCACATTTTCTCTTCTTCTTTAATCGTATGATTTACTGCCTTTTCCCATTTTTCAGGCTTCACATTATTTACAGCCTCCAAAAACAACTGTTTAACATCACTCATTTTAAAAGAATTATTTTTTCTTGAAACTTCTCCCTTTATCTGTGCCCATATCAGTTCAATCGGGTTTACTTCGCAATGATATGGTAGTGATCTAACCACCGTCATCCCACGATTTTTTGCAATTTCATATTTTTTGAATTTCTCTTTATGAAGAGAACACAAATGATACAGTTCTTTTCTCACAGAACCGGGATGGAACTTAATATTCTTTGAATTTAGCCAATTCTGTAAATTTTTTTTAACCACTTGGTTGTGGGCATTTTTTCTATAAGTCTCGAGTGATAACTTGCATTATCCATTACTATTATACAGTTCTGAGGAAGAAGATCTATAATTTGTTCGAACCACTCTTTAAAGACATCAGCATTCATGTCCTCATGGTAGTCACCGGTACGAGTAGATTCAAAAGTCAATAAACCACCTTTAACAAAACCGTTTGAACTACCGATGTGTACTATTATTAGTCTGCGCCCCTTTCGTGATGGTGGATTTAAACCAGTAGATAAATTACTTAAAAAAGCCTGTCTTCGACTTGTAACAGTTTCATCTTGCCAAAATTTATTTGGTTTATATCCCTCGTTGATCCATGTTTCACCTAAATAAAATATATTTCTTCTTTGGTTTCTCATTTCTTTTATAGTCCTTAGGTAATTTCTTCTCCATACTACAATATCGCTTCTTTCTATTAAAATAGACTTTCTGGAATGGTTTTTCCAAAGAAAACCTATTTCTTTTAAAAGTTTCCATAGTGTGCTTAGACTCATTTCAGGGTAATCCTTATCATCTCGAACCGTGGCAAGAACTTTGTCTACTGTCGGAAATTCTTTTCTAAAGAAGAACGCATGCACTTTCCTTCCAAGTCTTTCTTTCAGAAGATTTTCTAATTGAAATTTTGGTTTTCCTGGAGCTTTACGTGCTGTTTGAAACTCGCCACATTTCCCTTCTTTAACAACTCTGTAAATCGACGGATCGGACAGAGCGCGCACGGAGTGAGTGACGTCATCGACAGAGTTCGCTCTTTCTACAATCTCAAGACGAACACAACGGGAATGACAAATGACACTCTAGTGATAGTTTGCACTTGAATACACTTTTGTGTGTGGAATGGACTGTAAAAAATTAATTTTAGTCAAATAGGAAATAGTTATAACAAAAACAAACAAGTAATAATACGTATAAACTGATTAAATCATAGATTAGAATATTGACGTTTGACATTTTTGACACATTCCTACAGATACCCGTTGATCTCCACCGGCCAACTCTGGGAAGAGTGAGCGCGCTCTGAGTACGTGATCTGTGGCAAGCCGAACACAAAAGAGAACGCTCTGAGTGCCAAAACGACCACAATTGAGGCATACCGAGTGCACTCCGGGTACCACGAACGCCAAACCAAACTCAGCCTAAATTTCGACTTATTTAGAGATTAAAGTCGAAATTTCGAGTTTAAAGTCGAAATTTCGAGAAAAAAGTCGAAATTTCGAGAATAAAGTCGAAATTTCGAGTTTAAAGTCGAAATTTCGAAAAAAAAGTTGAAATTTCGAGAATAAAGTCGAAATTTCGAGTTTAAAGTCGAAATTTCGAGATTAAAGTCGAAATTTCGAGATTATAGTCGAAATTTCGAGAATAAAGTCGAAATTTCGAGATTAAAGTCGAAATTTCGAGATTAAAGTCGAAATTTCGAGTTTAAAGTCGGAATTTCGACTTTAAAGTCAAAATATTTTTTTTTACTATGTGGCCCTTCTACGCCTTCGTATTTCATTAACTGTTAAAGGACCGATTTTTTGTCGTTTACGCCTCCCTTCCAAATTTTCCATGATCACACTAGAATTCACACTGCACCTTGCAAGTTGCAACTAAACGACATTTAGTAAACTGTCAAGAATACACAACTTGGACCTCCTTACTAAATGGAAAACCTATATTCGCATTTTCGGTGAAATTTGTTGGGAAGGTATTTATCTACTTATAATTCGATTACTGTAAGAAATTCTTGGAATTAAAATAAAACAAAATTGGCAAATAGGTACTTATTGAAAATAGTCTTAAGATACGGCTATGAAATCTTCAATATACAGGGCTTTTGGCCAGTCCAAACCTTTTTCTACTGTTCTGTACCGCTTATGTTTATAAAGGACCAATAAAAGACCCAAAACTTGTAATAGCTCAGGTACATTTATTACAATTTTAGGAAATATTTAGATTAGTCTGTAAAAATATTTAAAATGACCGTACTAAGTTTTGCATTAAAAATGCTATTTTATTACTCTCTCATACATAAAAATAGACTATAGAAGTCCTAATTTTCAACAAATTCCAAAAACCTAGTGATGTTAGATGAAGTGGCAACAGGGCTTACACCGGCATGGAAATTTACGTTATGTAGTATAAGCGCGCGCAGTTATTCATTGATAAAACTAAGTTTTCTTTCTAAAATTCGTCTCTCTATCCCTTCTATTACTTCTCACCTTTCGTCGCCTCGCTCCGCGTCTAGAAATAGAATGTATCCATTATCGAACTAATGTTGGCACCGTGAGTATTATATTTTGTCAATGACTGCTTATATCTCTGTTATCTCTGCATCCAAAGCTTTCGCGCGGATACCAAGTGTATATTATTGAATATTAGTAAAAATACGATCAATAATTATATGTATAAAAATCCTTTACAATTTCACCTTAGAATATAAATAAAATCCATTTAAATGTAATACAAAAATGAAACTACTTACCAGTACCCAGGCAATTAGAGTCATTCACTGAAGACAGTCGCTGATAAGCTGGTCTTCTTAAGTTGGGGGACTGAAAAAACAAATTGTTTAATAACTAAATTTTTTGACATAATCTTAGTTTTTTTATTGTTAAAAATTATATTTTTCCTACTTAAAATTATGAATACTCCAATGTAAGGCCAATATATTATCGACTAAAACAAAGCATTACTCATATCTCTAGGTGGAAAGATATCTTTTTAACATGGTCTCAATTTTTTTTAAATCTTTAAGTGTCCAATAACTGGGTGGTTTACCCTACCAAGTTCTTGATATGTTACCCCGAGAATACCAATCAAGAAGAAGCGACAGCTTGGTGTTTTAAGTGTACCGTTTTGTAATGCGCATGTGCGAAAATAAGTTGTGTATCACTCAAAATCATGTTATCTGTCAAAGTCAGTTCATGTTGTGTTTAGTACGTGAGCAATGTTAAGTGATATTTTTTGGTGTTTGTTTTGTGTAGTAAGATGAAGATTTTTTACAAATATAAAACGTGCCAAAAAAGTTATTAGGAAACTAAGAATTTTATCACATGTATAAATATTAAGTATAATAATTTAATCATTTTTGACATTTTATTTTTCATGTGTAGATATGGGATTTTCTGAAATACATGTTTGTCTTCTTTTAAATAAATTTAATAAACAATGAACTGGAGATTTTGTTTATTTTATTTTGAAATTATATTTAAAAAAATATAATAAATCCGCGTGTTTCAATTAGGATTGGGCAAAGTGGGCCAAATCCCTTTATTATGGCTAAATTGTAAGTTACAATTATATCAATAAAAAGATGTTTTGCCCATTCATATTTATATTCATATTTATATTTATATTTATGGTTGTGAAAAAGGTGCATCCGATATCAAAGGCACCGACAGCTACTGTCGCTTCTCCTTGATCGGTACTCTCGGATGTTACCAACAAAAAAAACAAAAATCAAAAAATTGGCCTTAGCGATTCTACTATATATTACTAATATTAATTGCTATACATTTGAGTAAAGTCTATTTAAATTTTTATATTGAATTTTAATATTTAATATCATCTACAACCGACTTCCAATACCATGAAATAATAATTCACCAAATGAAACTGACAATATTAATAAAACAACCAATAAACTTACCTTTTCAATCATACTTTGTGTCCGTCCAATATATCCTTTATCGCCTTTTCCAGCCCTTAACGCTACTGGCTCGTAGTTAATATCGTTTAACGCATCATAGTTAATAAAGCTCAGGTCATTATAACTAACAGTAATATCACTCTCTACTAAAGATTGAAGGGACTGCCTCCACTCTTGATTCCTTTTCTCAGTCATTTTCTCACGCGAAGCCACCCGCACTGGCTTCTTATGTAAATCACGAAAACTCAACGAACGTTTTAAACTAGTAATTGGTTCTTCACTGATATGTACGAGTTTTTTAATAAACGATGGAGTTCTTTGGAGTACCGTTTTGTGGCTAAGTTCGAGAGCAGAAGCATACTTTTTACTTTTACCTAAAGTATTAGAATTAAAGACTGGTAATTGAGCTAGATTATCATGTTTCTCTTCCTCTTCCTTACTTTCTTTGGGTTTCTTGTCTTTTTTTCCAAATAACGAGTGGAATGATATCCGTTTCTTCTTTTTCTCTTTTTCATTAGTTCTTTTGGTATCTTTAGTCGTCTTAGTATAATCATTGTTATCATTTTCATCTAGAACGTAGCTACTGTCATGATTGTAACATTCACTAACAGTTCTTCTATGCAATTTAACGTAATTATTACAACATTCAGTTAAATCTACTTTGTCGTCATCTAAAATAGAAACCCGTCTATTATTCGTTTTTAAAGCTTGTTCTTGAAGACTTATGTGTTTACCGCGAATCATCACTGTACCCGATTCTACCGTATTTATTGCATTTTCACAAATATCATTTAGAAGATTCCTGACTAAGTCTTTTGTATTATCTGTTTCGTTATCTTTATCCTCTTGATTTATATTTAATTCAGTTTTATTAGTTTTGGACATTTTATTAATCCTGTTTGATAACCAGACTTTGTCCCTTTTATAGCGGATTTGGTCGTTGCAAATTTTGTTTGTTGTTACGGCAAATGAATTCTCTGATACCATATTCACGTGTTGCGTTAAAACCTTTAAAAATATGGAATAATTTCAGATAATATTAAATTGACATTTATGTGAGAACGTAGTTACCAAGAGTACTTACTTGTATGTAGTTAACATTTAAATATTAATTAGTAAACATAAATAAATTTACGAGTAAATAAAATATTAATGTACACTGGAAAAAATATGTAATATTGATAAAATTGATTTTGAAAAGGAACCACAGAATTGCTTAAATAGAGTGCGGATATGACTATTATTTATTTGTATATTAAATTTATATAAACTATAATATCTTTTAAAAATCTTATAACAAGAAAATCACTGAAATTTTGTTTTTTTACGTGGGTGTACCTACTTGTTTTTTTTTTTTAGGTAGGTATACCTGGTGTTTTATTTTTAATAGCGTTAATATCAGGACCATATATGTGCAAAGGGTGCTGTCGATCTTTTTAAAAAACCGTTTTGTAGGGTTTCTTAAGGGCTATAAGATCAAATTAGTTTAATATTTTTTCTGTCCTTATTTTTGAAAGGGTTTAAGCTGAAAGGGCTCGAACAAATTGCTTTTTACTCAAATTTGCAAACTTTGTGCTTATAATTGTGCATACTTTAGAAGTTAATTCCTAATTCCCATGAGTACTAATTATTTATTTGTTTTTTTCAGGATAAAAGAAAGAGATCGAAGCCACCTGCTGCTTATCACCGCTCATACAAGTTGAATTCAGTAGCGTAGTGTTACTTATTTGTACTTCTTGCATTTATTTAGCTATTTTGAGTTTCTTGAGTTTTGTGCTTCGATTTGTGAGTTTCCTGAGTTTTTGTGCTTCGATTTGTGTGTATATAAACTTTAATTTGTTATATTTTTTGAATTTCTAATTAATTTTATGACAAACGAGGCTGAACACAGTATTCAAATACCATTACACAAATACAGAGAGAGAATTTTAGCTGCTACAGGGATTTCTAGAAGCAGTTATTCTAGAATTAAGAAGATGGCTGGTGAAGTAGAAAGTGGAGTTAGTACTTCATTTTCACAAAGAGGATGTACAAAAAGAAGTACAGTTGTAGAATCTATAAGGCCTGAAGAGTTGGAAAACTCAGAGGTATAATCCATGATTTTCATATTATTGAGAAAAGACTACCAACTCTAAATTGTAAGTTACTATTTTGATTATAACGGCAACGTATTTAATATAAATATTATTTTAGGTATATTACAAAAAATGAAGGATTGTTGTTTTGAATTCCGGGGCAGCATCTCATCTCATCTCAAGGGCTTTTGAAACAATAAATAAAAAAATTTTATTAAAAAATTTGCAAAATTACGGTGTAAATTCGGCAGCATTAAATTTAATTAGGGAGTATTTGTCTAACAGGTATCATAAGACTAAAATAGGAAATAATATATCTAGTGAAACAGAAAGCCACTACGGGATACCGCAAGGAAGTGTGTTGGGTCCACTTTTATTTATTATTTATGTAAATGACATTCATAAACGTTTAAAAAGATCATTTATTAGCCTTTTTGCGGACGACACGCTCATTTCAGTATCTGGTAGAGATTTTCAGGAAATAATTCAAATATTAAATGAAGAATTGTCTATTTTGTATGACTGACTGTATGTAAATAAGCTTAAATTAAATACTGCAAAAACAAAATATATGATCCTAGGATCAAAAGCACAATGCAGACAACTTAATGCGCATGATCAAGTAGTAGAAATAGGTGGTGAACCAATTGAACAAGTACTGGAAATAAAATATTTAGGAGTCAATATTGACCAACAATTAACTTTTAATAATCATGCCAATTACTTATGTAAAAAATTAGGTAAAAAAATTGGTTATTTTAGAAGGATTTCATGTAACTTGTCGCAATGGTCAAAATCTCTGATTTATAATACAATAATACGCCCACATTTTAATTATTGTAATGAATTACTATTATCAGCTACTAAAGAAAACATCAACAGATTGCAACTGTTACAAAATAAATGTTTAAGGATAATATTAAATTGTAATATTTACAGTTCGGTCAGGGAAATGCATGAACAGCTGAATGTCTATACAGTTGAGCAAAGCATTAAAATGTCGAATTTAATACTAATATATAAGATGATACATCACAAAACTCCGAAATACCTTAGTACACTACTTGTAAAAAGATCTGAACTTCATTTACGTTCACTCAGATCAATGGACAATTTTAATATTGATTTCACAAAAAAATCTTTTTTTATGGGCTCATTATTGCAGGAAGGGATTCGTCTTTTTAATGCGTTGCCTAAAAATATAAAAGATGCCCCAACTCTAGGTAGTTTTAAAAATATGATTAGTAATTATCTAGGTTTAGGTAACCTATAGTTTTAAGTTTAAATTGTAAATATTTGTTTATAACTAGCTGAAAGCTAAATAAAGAATTTACTTACTTACTTAGGAAAATATTATTAAACATGGGTTTTAAGTAAGTATAAATAACGTTATCTAAAAAAAATCAAAATAAAATGATACCAAAATAATTAATTTTTCACAGTCAATTTTTGTACGTATAAAATTACAATGTGTATTTTTTCAGGTGGAAAAAAAATTAAGACAACAGATCTGTTATGTTGGTATCCTCCGACATTAGGAATAAGAGGACAAATTATTTAAAATCCTTAATACATTATCGGTAAGAGGGCAGAACTATTTATTATTGTGATGAGAGCTATTTACATAGTAGTCATACACATTCGAAAGGATTGACCGACGGCAAAGGCAAATTCAAAACTCCAATGAGCAAGGGGAAAAGGCTCATAATGTTGCATGCAAGGAGTAAGGATGATTTTGTAGAAAACGGACTGTTGATATTTACTTTAGGTAATAATCTATTTTTTATAGAAAATTATTTATTATTTGCGTCTTTACCTACTTCATAAAAATCCATGATGCTTAACAATCGAAAGTTATGATCAGCTTAAATTTAATTTAAACTGTTAAAGTATCTAATTAACAAGTAATTTAAGTACTTAATGTTTATTTTATTATCAAAAGACCATAAAATATTTTTTTTTATTTTTCCAACTTACAACTGATTAATTACAGAGTGATTATTTAAAAAAATCCTTTTTATAAAAACGGTTAATATTAAGTAGGAAAGTATTTGAAAAGGTAGAACATACTTCAAACATTATAAATACGCTTTTCATACTGCTAGCAACCAGCAAGGGTGTATTGAAAAATTTTAAAGAAGAATTATTTAACACCCTTATTTTTATTTTTACTTTCCTATCTGTATACAGATATAAAGAAAGTATAGGAATCATGATTTTTTTCGACTTCAGGTTTTCGACGGATTTTTGAGGTCCCCTGAATCCATTTTGACTATTTTCGCGATGATGTCTGTGTGTGTGTGTCTTTATGTCGCATAACTCATGAACCGATACACAGAAAAACACCAAATTTTAAACTTAAGCTTTGTTTTAGCGTCCAATGAGCTGATTATATTTTGGGCAGAGTCGGTACATCTGGGGGGGTACTTTATAGGTGGTCATTTTTATATTTTATGGAATATATCTGTTATTTACGTTTGGAGAAGAAAATTCTTCAAATAAAAGTTACTTCTAATGTAATTATCTATAATTTTTGTCTTATGCAAAATTTTCCTAAAATGGTCCGTATTCGAGAAATTTGACAAAATGAAAAAAAAATAATTTTTTATAAAAATTGTTCAAATAAAAGTTGTTTGAAATATAATTCTCTATAATTTTTATTTTATACATAATTTCTCTAAAATGAACCGTATTCGAGATATTTGAGAAAATGTGTAAATTACGAATTTTGAAGAAAACTCAAAAACGGATGAAGAAAACCACATTAAATTTTAAACCTAAGTTTTATTTCGGCCTAGATTTTGGACAAAGTCGGAACATCTGGGGGGGTACTTTATGGGAGGCCGTTTTTATATTTTATGGAATATATCTGTTATTTATGTTTGGAGAAGAAAATTTTTTAAATAAAAGTTACTTCCAATATTATTATCTATAATTTTTGTTTTATGTCAAAATTTCCTGAAATGGTCCGTATTCGAGAAATTTGACAAAATTCTGATTTTTATGAAAATTGTTGAATTAAAAGTTGTTTGCTATATCGATCTCTATAATTTTTGTTTATACATACATGATTTTTTTTAAAATGGACCGTAATGGAAAAGTGCTAAATTTAAATTTTTCAGTATTTTCGTTTTCAATGAATATCTATAGAAAAATGTTTCGAGGTAGATGTATGTGGACAATGTATATATTTAGTTTATCCTCTAAACATTTATAGAGATGCTGCAATAGGTTGTACAAAATAACCGAAAAAAGCCTATAATAACTAGATAGGAAAGTCATGTGTTGGACACATCAGATTTTTAATCAAAATACTGTTGTCAAGAAAGTTTCGAAAACCTGTTAATTAATTTTTTTGACAGGCATATATATATATATATATATATATATATATATATATATATATATATATATATATATATATATATATATATGCCTATCAAGAATACTAGAACAACTAAAGGAGGCGGCTGCCCAAGCGGTCCTCACTATTTACTATTTAATAATTAAAATTGAGAGATTATCCATAAAATCTATTTTACGTATATTTTAGAAAGTCTAAAAGTCTAAAATAATTTCTGTGGAATGTATTTGAGATAGTTGCATTTTTTGTCAGTTCTGTAGTTTTACAACACTTATACCGCCACTGATGGGAAATGTATCATGTATCGCCTCACAATCAAACGATTATATTAATTAAAGTTTATGTAAAATAAACCTAATCGATACTATTTAATAGTCTATATAAAATAAAATTGATTTTAATCAAAAGGAAACGGTGCGTATACTGCAATAAAAAGGTGAGCATTCAATAACCAGCAAGGACAAAACTATTGAATAACATTTTCTACTTAACTATTCATATACACAATTATATTCTTTCTTTTTATTATTATTAGCAAGAGGATAATA